CCCCCCCACCATCACAGAGACGCCCCCCCCCCCCAAACAATGCGCACGCCTCAACAAATAGATCCAGCTTTGTGTTGCACGTGACTGTGTGCCAGGCGCGTGATCTAGGTCGACTCGGCCGTAAAACGAGTCCAGTACCTGGCGCGGTGTGTATGAACATCGCCGCGGGGGAAACAAAGGCGGTCGGGCGTGGTGCTCCCCCCCCCCCCCCCAACGCCTCCAACCCCACCCTGATGTGCAGCGCCGGTTTTTATAGGAGCTCGCAAATAGCACTTGCCCCAAAAACCATGCTGAGGCTATACGGGCGGGTGGGGAGGTCTTTGTCTTTGTGGTCTGGGTGCGTTTTTCGCGAGAGGCTGCTGCGTGTGAGTTTGGTGCCAAGCGAGCGAGAGAGAGCGGGGAGAGAGAGGGCCTCGGTGCGCGTTGGAAGAAGCTGGCCCCGTTCGCGCCGCAACGCATGCGTCCGAGCACGCGCGTTCCGCCCTCGATCCCCTGTACCGCGTTCATTCGAGCGACCGCGTCGAGTCGCGTGAAGGAGCGAACGAGCCCGGGGCTGGCATCGCGAGAGTTAAATCACCGCCATCGCCATCTGGCGCGCGGGCGGCATCTCGCCTTGTAAGGACACGTGCGGAGGCCGCCATCTAGGGTCCGTTATTTCTGGATCGTCGCTCAGCCCACTGGTCGCTCGCTCGCTCGCTCTCTCGCTTAGCCAGCCACCACGCTCCCTCCCTCCCTCCCTCCACTCCCTCCCTCCGATCCCTCCCTCCCTCCACTCCCTACCTCCCTCCCTCCGTTCCCTCCCTCCCCTCCGTTCCCTCCCTCTCTGCTTCCTCCGTTCCCTCCCTCCCCTCCCTTCCCTCTCTCCGCTCCCTCCCTCCGTTCCCTCCCTCCGTTCCCTCCCTCCACTCCGTCCCTCCCTCCACTCCCTCCCTCCCCTCCGTTCCCTCCCTCCTTACGTTCCCTTTCTCTGTTCCCTACCTCCCCTCCATCCCCTCCCCTCCTTCATCCTTCCTCTTCCACAGACCCACCAAGGAAGGGGAGGCGGGGGCAAATTTCGCGGGAGCATCAAAACGCGCAATTTTAAAATGCAGCCAAATGTTTGTAAATCACTGTCACGAGCAGCAGCAGCGGTCGCATGGATATTAAAATACACACACAAAGACAAAGACCCCCCCCCCCCCATATAGCCTTAACAGCCTGTTGGGGCAAGTGCTGTTAGCGAGCACCTATGAAGGTCGGCATGGCACCCGAAGGGGTGTGTGGCCAGCACCACGCCCGACCGCCTTTGTCTCCATCACGTGAGCAAAGACAAAGATCCCCCGTATCGCCTTTAACTTACTGCAGGGGTAAGTGCTGTTAGCGAGCAGCTATGAAGGCCGTAACGGTACACGAGGGGGTGGGTGAGCAGCACCACGCCCGGCCGCCTTTGTCTCCCACACATGCACATACGCACACAACACACACACACACCTTAATGCACGCGATGTCATTTTTTATTTTACTTTTTTTTGCAGGACGTGGACTCGGAATCTCATCACAAATCTTCCACCGAGCAAGTTGGCCACTCAACCCACGTGCCGCGGATGTGGCGATGTCGCTGAGCGGGCGGCTGTGAGCGTGTGGCCTCTCCCCATTGCTGTTTTCACGCCCTGCGGGTGATTTAGGTGAAGGCTGTTTCGTGTCCGTGCGAAGGAACGCCTTCGTGCGACCGAACCGGAGAACTGCGCGCTCAGCAGCCACTCTTAAACTCTAAAACTCAACTGGTTTTATTTCACCGGATGCTCTTCTTTAAGAAGCGACCTGGCCACAAATGATAGCTCCACGAAGTGGTTTATCACGTGGAAGTAGATAGCAGCCAAATACTCGCAATGCTTGTTTCTAAAATGTGGAGGGAAAAAGCGGGAGGACGCGGAGAAAAATCCACGCGACCACGGGGAAAACATGCAACCTCCAAATATACAGCAGGCGTCAGGGTCGAACCCACGACCTCCTGTACACCAGGCGAGGTAGTCAACATCTCGCCACCACACGCCTGGGAAGCCCACGGGTCACCTTGAAGGCAGTAGATAACATTCTAATTTAAACTTCAGCAATTGGTAGCACAACTTTAGTCGCAGCCCGTGATGTATTCGCGCGGTTATCATACAATCCACTTATTGTCCACATAGAGAAATTGGAACCGCTAAGGTTATGCAACCTGAGGTGGTTCCGACGAGAGAGAGACATCTGGTCTGGGCTCGTGGACATGATGATCTTGATCTAATATTCACTGTCGGTTCCTGAGCGTGGGGTTCAGGGCTTCAAGAACATTATCAAGGCTACGCACACACCACTGTGTTGACTCACCACTCCAGGTGACTAACCGTTACAGGTGTTTCAATCTTGATTTGAAGCTTTCGTGACTGCAGGAATTCATACTCTTTAGTTCCTTCGGTAAAGTCACGTAGGTATGGAAAAAGTAATAGATCACGACGTTTCGATCGCCACACAGGCAATCGTCTTCAGGTGAAGACATTGCAGGTGTGTAATGACTTGCTGGGCGGTGGTGGTTGCGCACGCCTGCAATCCAGCGCTGTGGAGGCAGCGAGGGTTAGTGGATCACCGCACGAATTGTTGTGAAACTCTCTTCCCGTGGGCATCAAGTAGGCACTATACCCAGGCTCGTCAGAAGGCAGTACTGTACAGAAAATCGTCGACTCCATCTGTTCCATCTGTTTGGGATCGAGTGTCGCCCCCGTCGCGCGCGTGGGTTTCCTCCCACGTGTATTAACACTCATTGGCTGAAACCATCTGAAGAAATAGAGGACTGCAGAACTCGGGCAATTTGTTTGCGTCGGCTCATCGTCGGGCTCATGCCCTCTCGCTCGTCTGTGGTTCCTCCTCGCGCCTTTGAGTCTTCCCCTTACTCTCTCCGAGAGAAGGGAGCGCCGTTACAGGTCGAAATCATGAATTAGTATTAACCCGTCTCATAACCCTTCCAAGACAATGACCAATTACAATACAGCACTTACAAGCTTACCGTTAGTCATCGAACAGAGACGGTCACCACAGTACCGCTATCATACGCGCCTCTGCGGCCGTCTGGAACGCTCTCCCTTTTGATATTAGGAAGCCACTGGAGCTATATGCGCTTTTAATTCGTCTGGATTGAAAACTAATTTCTTGAGAACTGCCCTTTTGAGTTGAGTTTTTGTCCTTTCCCCGCACCTCCGATTCACACATATGTTTACATGTGTGTGCAATCAATGTTCCACTGGCGCCAGACTTACTTGGTTTAGCACGAGACTCGATGCTAACACTGCCCGAAATTGAAACAAATACTTTTAATTCTTATGTCTGTGGTATTTACGTTGTTTGTCTCTTAACTGTAATTCTCCAGTGGCCTGGGTGAAGTTTTGCCCAATCCTAGCTCAGCTAGCTCAAAAAACTTAACAAACTAAACTAACGCATAAAACCGATAAACATCTAGGGGGAAAAATGCGTGGGGGTTCATGTTAAAACAATAACGAGTTTCTATAACTTTCTAGCCACAAGGGTAGACTCTATCTGTGACCAATGTCAGTCTTCCAGCTCTTCCAGAAGAGAATTACAATTTTAATTAATTATTCAGTCACGTCTGTCCATATGAATACCACGTCTGAGAAAGCGATGGCCCACGACAATGGATGACATTGGAGTTGAACCCCCTGGTCCGTTTGAACCCCTGCCTGCCATCAACGGCAGGTGTATGTATGCATGTTGAATGTATTACTGGTAGGAACCTCCTGGTTACACCAGCCCACAGGGGATTATTGTGTCCGTCCGTCGTGCAGGGAAGGGCTGGGTGGGGAGGGAGGGGCTGGGTGGGGAGGAGAGGGTGGGGAGGGGCTGGGTGGGGAGGGTGGGGAGGTGCTGGGTGGGGAGGGTGGGGCTGGGTGGGGGGTGGGAGGGGTGGGGCTGGGTGGGGAGGGGCTGGTCACCCCGTGGTGCCCTTATAAAACTCAACGTTTTACCTACTCACGCCGGCTTGTGCCCGCCCTCACAGTCGGGCATATTTGCGGAATACACCACGCCGCCGTTGACCCTGGCCATTGACCGAGCAACCCAACGTTCCTACCAGCTCCCTCCGCAGGAATGTGTTTCTCATCGTCCGTAGCCAACCCTCCGTAGGCAACGTCGGTGTTTCTGTTGACTGCGCGAAAACGGTTCGCCCTTTCGCTATATTTACCGGTGACAGTGCCGTTCAACAACCCTCGTCCAATATAAACAGTGCCACGACATCCAATCAATTTGGCAAAATAGATTAAATGTGTGCAGCGGTGCTCGACGATGATTGAATACCTGCAGAGCGCCCTCCGTGTACGGTACAAGGAAGGTCAATCTCAGCCCCTCGTTACGTAACTCACGACAGCGCGCGTGTTTAATTTTTTTTATTTTACCACGTAAGGGCCACTGAGCTATACAGCTCTATTTTTCAGAAACGACCTGGCCACAAATTATAGCTCAACTAAGTCGCTCATCACGGAAACCAAACACGCTAAAACGAACGTTTCCTTTCGAAATGCGGAGGGAAAACAACCGGAGGACCCGGAGCAAAATCCACGCGACCACGGGGAGAGAGTGACGCGCACACTCCAAATGTTTCGGCGTCAAGAGTTCAGGATCGCACCCACGACCTCTTGTATACCGGGCGAGGGATTTAACATCTCGCCACCGCGGCGCCCATCTTCTGCCCTCTGCTGCAGCCTGTGACGCAGCGTCCACGTGGCCCTCAACGAACGAGGCAATGCGGATTTTTTTTTTACAAGCGCCGGTTTTATTCTCAACGTCCCGCGTGACGTCATTTACGTGGAACGTTAATTTCTCGCGTGAAAGGATTACGCGTGACGTGTGCGCTGAACCTCTTTCGTACCGTACGTAGCCAACTGTGCTAAGCGGAGGTGTGGGAGATGCCGATGGGAATACATTTGCATAAGTGGCCGTGCGTTTTCGTCACATTGGTGCGTTCTGCTTGGCGATCATCCTCGTCGGAAAAGCTGGGATCAGTGGTGTGTAACAAAAAAAAACATATTCCTACGACATCACGCGAATTCTTTCCATTGAGAGTCAACATTCCAGACAAAAACATTTCTACCGACTTCATTCCATCGACTAGCGGAGAAATAGCAGGCCCGGTCGATCCCGCACCCCCTCGCCTGGTCCGGGATGCGAACTTGACTGTGTAGTCCAACCGCGTGAGCTCGGCGCCAGCCCGAACGTAGGATGCGGCGGGGCTGCTCGAGTGAGTGAGAAATAAAAGGTTCACTAAATAAAACAATAAAATAATTATTATGTTTTATTTTTATTATTTTATTATTTTCCTTCTACGTGACTTTACCGAAAGAATCAAGAAGATGAATCCCTGCAGTAACGAAAGCTTTAAATCTTTGTGTACAGTTTGTTGTCCTTCCCCCCCTCCCCCCCCCCTCGATTACCACGGTTGGCTACGTACCGTGCGAGACAAGTTCGACATACTTTATACCACGCTGGTCCACGTGGGTTCGCATGAGGCTTCAGTTTTAAACGCAGGTGAGCGCCAACTGACGGGGCACGCTTCTCCAAGATGTAAACGTGCAGATGGCCGACTGTCAATGTGAGTAACGCGGCATTGAGACTCCCCAGGGGGAGACGCCCACGTGTATAGGTTCACTTTAGACACGGGAGTTGAGCTCAAAAGGAGCGCCAAACGACGATATCGTCCACAAGCAACGGCCGGCAAACCCCGCGTCTGGCGTGATATGCCATTGTGTGTGTGTGTGTGGGGGGGGGGGGGGTTAAGTCAGCAGCACCACAAGACGGTGTCCACGAGAAGGCGAGTTCCACGAACACAACGGGGAAGACGCAAAGTTGTGTTTTTGGAGCCGTCCATAAATGACGTCACGCACCTGGGGGGGGAAAGGGGTGGGGGGGGTTGAGAAATGTGACGTCACATCAAAACACGTTCTACTTAATTAAATAGACTTTGTAATAAATGTTTTCTCCTACAACATCAGAGTGCAGCGCCACATTAAATACGCACTACAATGATAATAATTTAAAGCGATTTGAAGAATGTTAAATTTTTTTTTGGGGGGGGGGGGCAGAGCTTTGTGACATCATATTTGAGGGGGGGTCTGACTTTTTGTGACGTCGTGTGACGAGGGGGGGGGGGGTAAAAATTGTCCAAAATCGTGTGACGTCATTTATGAACGGCCCCTTTGTAGTTTAACTTACCATGTATATATATATTCGCACGGTTCGCTACGCACGGTGCGAAAGAAGTTCTACACACAACCAAACATCAATTTACGTCTCCACATGTGACTACAACATACCTTACGTATTAGCCATCGGCCTATCGACTTTCATCGAACCAATATTAACTCATCCGCATTGAAACAAAACACTCGACTCGTTTTGATCTTGTGAGGCTCATCGGCAGGGGGCTTGTTAAAACAAATGGGAGGCCAAAGCCAAAGGTGTCGTGTTCGTCTTTCCTGCGTGGCCAAGAAATGCCAGCGAGGGTGAGGCGGTGGTTGGGAGCAGTGCCGGATTATCCCAGTAGCAAAAGTAGCTACAACACGTGTAGTAGCAGCTGCAACACGTGTAGTAGCAGCTACAACACGTGTAGTAGCAGCTACAACACGTGTAGTAGCCGCTACAACACGTGTAGTAGCAGCTACTACACGTGTAGTAGCTGCTACTACACGTGTAGTAGTAGCTACTACTACTACTACACGTGTAGTAGTAGCTACTACTACTACACGTGTAGTAGCTACGGGCCCCGCACTTTCAAGGGCCCCGCGCTAAATGCTTTCAAGATATCAATTCCGGTTCAGTGATTCTGCACTTGCTCTATTACTATAGTACTATACCGCCTTCAACTTTTATGAACGACTGGGTGTTTAAGGTTAGCGATTTGTCGTATTATCTGGCTGTATAGCAAATGAAAAAATACAATTACTTTACAATGCAAGTTCAAAATTTGTGTTTTAATATTTAAGTGTTTTTCTGTATTTAGGGCCCCTTCACAACATATGCTACAGGCCTCGCACTAGCTGAATCCGGCATTGGTTGGGAGCTCCTGAAATCCTCGCCGATTAACGAACTGCAAAGTCACGGGGCAGCCCGACACCGCGTCGCCCTCGCCAGGCGCCAATGAGCGACGAGGCTTTGAGTGATCGCTGATTAGACGTTGGTTCGTGCGCGTGCGCAGGCGTTGGGTTACGGAAGCGTCGCGTGCGCGCTGGCGATCGGCGGCACGCGGCTTGGTGGGGGGGGGGGCTCGTTAGTGGAGCGGGGCAGGGTGGAGGGGGAGATGAGGGGGAGGGTGGGGAGGGGGAGGGTGGGGAGGGGAGGGGAGGGGGGGGGTGGGGAGGGGGAGATGATGGGGAGGGTGGGGAGGGGAGGGGGAAGGTGGGGAGGGGGAAGGTGGGGAGGGGAGGGGTGGAGGGAAGGGGTGGAGGAGATGAGGGGGGGTGGGGAGGGGGGGGGTGGGGAGGGGGGGGTGGGGAGGGGAGGGAGGGGGAGGGTGGGGAGGGGAGGGAGGGGGAGGGTGGGGAGGGGAGGGAGGGGCAGGGTGGGTAGGGTGGGGAGAGTGGGGAGGGTAGGGAGGGGGAGGGTGGGGAGGGGCAGGGGAGGGGCAGGGTGGGAAGGGGGAGATGAGGGTAGGGAGGGTGGGGAGGGGGTGATGAGGGGGAGGGTAGAGGAGGGTAGGGAAGGGGAGGGAGGGGAGGGGGAGATGAGGGGGTGGGTAGGGAAGGGGGGGGCTCCGACTTGGACTTGGAAGTCACCGACGCTAAAATTGAAACTCGAGAACAAAACATCCCGAATGGTTGTTTTGTGTTCTGGTTGTTTTGTGAGATGAAAACCACTTGAGACGCTCCGCATTCAAGACTTGAAATGCGACCTAAAAATTCTTCGGGGAAAGCAAAAGAAGGTCGCATTTGGTCAAAATGACATCATGCTCAACAGAACATTGAAGCGGTGCTAGTCTCCTGTTCACAGCCCCAGAATTCCGCATTTCTATGACGGGATGAGTTAATCCAAAACAATACGAGGACTGTTGACTCCACCGGAAGAGTGACACTCATTTCGATGTTGCTGCGCTGCGTTACCTTCACCACCGTGATTGGGAAACTCGCAACTTTCTCCCTCTCCCAGCGCGGAGCCAGCTGGCAACTGCAGTAACACCCCGATGTACGTCTTCTCCCTTTAACGTCGCTTTGCAAAAAACGTCGTCACTTAAAAAAAAATACCGCTACTACCCGACTTGCATCACCTCAACCCGCACACTCACGTCGCTGGCACCATCGCCCGTCTTTTACTCGTTGTCCATCGCCTCTCAACCTCCGCCTCCACCTACGCCGTGAATCGCTTCGATTGACGTCGTTTCGATATACGTCGCACATGTCGGGAACGCATCCCCGACGTAAACCGGGGTGTTACCGTGGCGCGCGAAACAAGTGAAACGTTGTTCATATTCTTAGGTTTTTTCTGTAAAGTCACGTAGGTAAAAAATTTAAATGAATAAAAGTAAAATAAAAAATAAAAATAAATCACGACGTTTCGGAGGCAACACAAACGTGATTTTTTATTTTATTTTTATTTTACTTTTAGTAATTTTAATTTTTTACCTACATGACTTCACCGAAAAAACCTAAGAATATGAATCATTGCAGTCATGAAAGCTTCAAATCTAAAACGTTGTTCAGTTACGTCGTGAAATGAACCCATTGAGACGCGCGAACCATCAGCGCCTCCTTCGCAAGGCCGACCTTGAGTGGAATACACTTCATTTCGGGCTCCTATTATGTTCCTCTTATTTACTTTGCAATTGTGCGAACGCGCTTTGACGTAGGTACCTACGCATACTCTTTGGTTCTTTCGCTAAAGTCACGTGGGTATAAAATAAAATAAATCACGACGTTTCGGGCGCAACACAAGCGTCCGTCATCAGGTGGGAAAGCATGACGTACGCATGTTGAACTTCGCTCGCACCGTACCTTAGCCGACCGTGCTAATCCGGGTTGGGGATTAGCGTGGTCACTCTCGCGGTCACGTGAGCAAGTGCGGAGCCCAGCGCGTGCGTGAGTCCTTTATCGGTCTCAGGCCATTGGTATCTTGACCGGGAAACAGATCTGTCTCGCAGCCCGTAGGCTAAAATAACAATAAAGAGACGTTTTCATTCGAATTCGGTAAAAAAAAAAAAACCCCGCAATATTTTAAGAGCCGCAATGCCACGCGAATACGAGAGACTGTGTGGTTCCTTTAAAATGAAATAACGTCACGAAGGAAGACCTTGAAAGAGCCGCACGCGGCTCCGGATCCGCAAGTTGCCGACCCACTGCCCCCATCGGCAAGAAGAAGAAGACGACTCATTCGCATCTCCGCTTGGAAGGGGTCCCTCTCGAGACCAAAGGCGGTCACTGACGCAGTTGTTGCGCAGCGCCTGCAGTCATTGCGATGCCGCTCGCGTTTTTGATCGAGGGACGCTGGTGTTGTGTAAATGTTTAAATGCATGAATAATATATCCCGAGCGTGTTGTGTTTTTTTTTGCTGCTGCTGCTGGTGCTGGGCCATATGGCGGCGTTAATGTCAAAATATGAAATTGTCATTGGGACAATCACTCTCACGGTGGCCATAAAATTGGCTCGAAATTGGAGGATGAATTCACGCGTATCGACCTCGCAGGCCGCCGACCCCACACCCCACCACCACGGGTGCTGTCTCCTCGAATGCATGGGGGTCTTCTCCTGGCACTCAGGTGTCTTCACACACGCAACAGCAACAACACAATACAGCAACAGCAGAATACCTCATCGTGGATTGGTCAAATGTCCCGAGGGCTTTGGAACGCGGTGAGGTTTCGTGGCCACAGCGGGTGGCGCCGTGTGGGTTCAGGGCGCTTGTACCCAAGGTTCTGAAATGTGCGATTTTATTTTGAATTCTGGTCGGCAGTCGACTGGACCCATCATCCTTTCGATAAAAGTGCAACCATAAAAATAAAAAATAAAACAAAATCAAATGTTATTTCTACCTACGTGAAAGAACCAAAGAGTATGGATTCCTGCAGTCACGAAAACTTCAAATCAAGATTGAAACATTTATAAGTAATCAACAATGGTCGCGCTATGGACAGACTGACACCTAACATGGAAATGTGGATGTTTTAATCACTGCCTCAGGACTGCGGCCTGCTAAGAGAGAAGAGCCACGCTACTTCTCTTATCCTACAGCCCCCCTAGTGAGTTCGACTCCCCAGGACAAATCCTCGCCTTGACCTTGTCCGCGTCTCGTTCACATCCCGGTTCGGGCTGGGCTCCCCCCACGCCAAATTCCACAGCCCCCTCGGCTCACCCCACCCCACCCGCCTTCCCCCTCGCCTCGTTCAATTGGCGGCTCGCAGCTCCAGGTTGAGGAGGCCACAAACTCCCTCCCGGATTGCCCACGATCCGGTGAGGCGTGCCGGTGGATTCATTGAGTCATGCAGCATCACAGAAGAACTGGTTTGGTGGGAACGCAAAACTGGTGGATCATCATCATCATCATCACCACGCGCTGCGTCCGCCTTCCAAACGTCAATCCATCCGCACACGGCACCTGAAACTGAAACCTGTGGATGGGTTTGTCGCCTCCTCGACAACGACTCACGCGACGACACAGCGCAGGACTCGCATGACGACACGGCCACGGGATCTTTAAACGTTTACCTGGGCGGCGTAACGCGTCTTTGACGCGGCGATCGTTTACTTTGGCTTTGATGGTACAACCCCCTCCTCCCTCCCCCGCCCGCTTTCAGTAATTGCTGCCAATGGCACGCATCCTATCCGGACCGCGTCACAGGAGTAATTAATCACCGCGGCGCTGTAGCGCGGGAGTGATAATTGACCGTAAAATGTCGCACGCGCGGTTCAACAGCATCGCGCGCCGTGCCACGCGGTCCGGGGCGCGGTGTTAATTGCATAATTGTTTTAATTAGGAGCCCCCAGTACGGCTACCCCCCCCCCCTACCGTCCTAGCTCCGGCTATCATCAGGGCCTTATTCGTGGATGTTAAAGCGCAGAGGTGGCTGGGGTGGGGAGGTGCCATTGCGACACCCGCCGAGAACTCGGATCGCTGCAGTGGATGTTCTGCAAGTTTGGTGGGCGCTGCTGGAATTGTATCACCGCTGTCTAAACTCGACTAAGCAAACCTGTTTTTTTTATATTCTTGGGTCTTTCGGTAAAGTCGCGTAGATAGGTTCAAAGAAAAAAAATCTAAAATAAATACCAGGGTAAGGCCCCCCCACTGAGCTGTACAGCCGCTTTTTCACAAGCGAACTGGCTGTCACAAATGACAGCTCAACGAAGTGGCTTCTCACTTGGAAATGTGCAGCAGTCAAACGCGTCTAAACGCGTGACGTTGATTCGAAATGTGGAGAGAGAAAACCCAAAGGACCCGGAGAAAAATCCACGCGACCAAGGAGAGAGAGGCCCGCAAACTCCAAATATACAACCGGCGTCACGGGTCGGGGTCGGACCCACGACCTCCTGTATACCAGGCGAGGTAGGTAACATTTCACCACCGTCAGATCATCGTTGCCTCATCTGTCTGTGCGATTATTTGATTCGGAGCTGCACGGAGCAGCTGCGTGAGACGGCGGGGGGGGGGGGGGGGTCTAGGGTGCAGCGTAGCGCGCTCCAAACGCAGCAGCAGCGGCGGCGCGGCTCTACCAGATGATGGAGTCGGGCTGGGTTTGAGTCGTCACTCGCGCATGATCTCTTCTCGTTTCCACGAGGCTCGGGGCTTCGCACTCAACAATGACACCCGGGCCAGGCGCATCGAGCCGCGTGCGTGCGCCCGGTGACGCAGTCGTCTCCTGGAGCTCGGATTAATTATGTCGTGGAGAACATCGCCCGCTCCGAGTGTGGCTGCCGCTCCTGCGTCAAACACCGCGCGTTCCCAGGATGGCAAACCCGTCACAGGGTCGTCCATCATCATCATCGTCATCGATGATTCAACTCGCGTTAGCGATTCGAGTTGCGAAGGCGAGCGGCTCCACGCCGCGTTCAGTGCAGCCTCGCGTGAAGGGGGAGGCGGGAGGCGGGCGAGGAGGCGCATCAACCCGACGCCGACGTTTTGCACCAAGAATCATTTTCTGCGAACCGATTTATGAGAAGCGCCGCCATCAACGTGAAGGATGCGAGCTGCGGCGGGGGGGGGGGCTGGGTGGAGGCGTGCGGCGGGGGAGGGCAGGGGGGGGGGTGCGAGTGGAGCGGGGTGGGGGGGAAGGGAGGGTGCAGCCTCCAAAGTGCCTCATTAGAATATTACCGAGCACGTGCCCCCAGCGACGCCCAATGGCATCCGCCGGGGTGGGTTGACAGTGACGTCACGCGCCCTCGTGCCGGGGATGAGAGCGCGCGCGTGACGCGCATTGGCTGCGCGTCACGTGACGGGCCAACGGGCACGCATGACAATTGCTCATGTTTATGATTTCTGCCAGGTATTTCGCCCACGGACGGAATAAAAAAAACCGACGTCTCGAAATTCTTCCTCCCTCCCCCTTTCTCTTCCCCCCCCCCCACCCTACCCACCACCACCACCTCTCTCTCCCGCGCCTTCGTGAAGCGCGCGCGCGTGCGCCAGAGCACGGCGGCAGCGGCGTCCGAGCTCCGCCGGCGCGCACGAAGAGTCGAGGATGAGGAGTGGTGCAGCCAGTCGGAGCGGTGGCGCAGTAGGAGACGAAGGGGGGTGAGGCATGGAGATGAAGACGTGGAGGGGGGGGGGGGGGGAGCGAGGCTCGAGACGACTGCCCGGTGAGATGTTGCCCTTCGATGTCGCCGGGTGGCAGGCAACCTGAACTTGCTCAGGTTCGGCTCCCTCGCCAACGCCCCCCCCCCCCCTCGCTCCACAGGGTTTCATAAGGAGCGGCCAAGAGAGAGACATTAAAAAAAAACACGCACACGGAAGCATGGAGCGCCTCGGGAAGAAAGCGCGTGGGAGACGCGAACAAGTAATTCCAGGACGAAGAGGAGGAAGACGGAGAGGAAGATCGGGAGGAGGCGGAGGCGGAGGATGGAGCCCGTGCCCCCCCCCACCACCACCACCCCAACCCCCTGCCGCGCCGCCGGAGCGAGGTGAGTACCGGGCGCGGCGCGCGAGGGGGGGGTCTCTCCGCTCGACTCTCGGCGTCTCTGCACCGCACGCACGCCGCGCCTTGCTCTGCACCCAACTATTTGGTATTCCCAACGATCGTGCGCCAATTCACGACGCCGGGAAGATGCTGTCAAATGCTATTTTGAAGAGGGAGAGAGAATGGGGGTGGAGTGGAGGGGGGGAAATAATCCACGGGCCCGCCTTACTGCGGCGGCGGTAGCAGCAGCAGCATCATCATCAATATGAGCGAGCGATTCGATCAGACCGGTTGAGTGATGCAATGTTTTGGCAGTCAGAAGTACGCGCTGCATGCGAAAGCGCGTTCTGCACCGCGCATAACGCGGTGCCCATCACGCACGCACACACACACACACGCGCACACATACACGCGCACACACACGCACACATACACGCGCACACACACACGCACACATACACGCGCACACACACACACACACACGCTCGCTCGGCTCCATTCACTGATGGGCCCTCTTCGGAATGTGATGGCAGTCCCATTGAGAGGGTGGCCTCTAACACGCCGAGGGGATATCCCGTGGTTTTACATCGCTCTGCACGTGTTGTGTTTGGTGCGAAGCGAGGGCTGTTCCCCGTGCTATAAACACATAAACGGCTCTCTCTGTGTTCGTGCCGGGGCTGCGCTCGGTGTTGTAAACACATAAATAGCTCGAGTCGCTGCCCGGCGCGGAGCTCCAGCCGCGAAACTCGTGCCCGCAGGCGAGCGGGCATTCGACAGTGGCGTGAGACCACGCGACTGTCGAATGCACGGGACAATCCTCTAGACCCCCCCCCCCCCACGCACACACCCACACCACCTCCCCTACTCGCCTGGCCCCGACGACGCCCCAGCATCGAGTCCTCAGCTCGGCGTGGTGGTGATCTCAAGTCCGGCTGGAGCGACGCGGTGTCCAGGTTTTTGTTGTTGTTGTTTTTGTGAATCGGCGCGGCGATTCGAACATTCAAGAAGACGCCGTCTCTCTCGCGGTTGTTGTTCCATTTCACCACCGCGTTGACGTTGTCCATCGAGCAGTGGAGTAGGGGGGGGGGGTAGCTGTGCGTGTGGTTTCTATTTTGCCTGCGGCTACCATGGTTTACTTTCGTTCGCAGTCGGTTGAGATTTGTTGACCAGTAGAGATGACTTCGTGTTTAGTTACACACACATGATGGGGTGTGTGTGTTCGTGTGGGGCAGCGGTAGTGTAGCGGTTAGCGCTACGCTACGAACCCGGCGACCCGAGTTCGATTGCCGCTAACGGCCAACAACAGTGACGATTATCTGAACTGGCCCTGGGCCGCCCCGAGGTCTGCTCAGCCTCAAATGAGTAGCTGGCACGGTGTGTAAACATCGCCACTAGGGAGACAAAGGCGGCCGGGCGTGGTGCTGGCCTCCCACCCCCTCGTGTGCCGTGCCGGCCTTCGTAAGTGCTCGCTAACAGCACTTGCCCCAACAGTCTGAAGGCTATACGTGTGTGGGGGGGGGGGGGGTCTTCGTACGTGAGATGGGTGGAGGCGTGTTTGTGTTGGGTGGGGGGGTAACGCGAGCTTTGAAGGCTCGCGGCTGAAGTGCGGAGCGACAACGAGGAGCTCAATTCGGCGCGAGGAGTTTCTTTTGTTCAAACCGGAAATCGCCGAGTCAATTGACTCCCGTCGCTCGGCGGAGGAGGAGAATGAGAATAAGAAGAATAAAGCGAATCGCTGTGCCGAGGGAGAGGAATCACGCGGCCTCATCAGTCGGGGGACCCCTCCGGGTTGAGCGGCGCGCAACGAACCGTGTGAAACCACCTGTGTGTGTGTGTGTGGCGGTGTTTGTGGTTGTGATGGTGGCGGGTGTGTTTGGTTGTGGTGGTGTTTGAGGTGGTGGTGTGTGTGGTTGTGATTTGTGGTGGTGGTGGTGGTGTGTGTGGTGGTGGTGGTGTGGTTGTGGTGGTGGGGTACAGCTGCGAGCTCCCGGGTCGCGCCGAGACGCCGTGCGACGCGGCGAATGCGGCGTGAGAGAGAGGGACTGGGGGGAGCGGCAGGAACCGAGTGGAACCTCGCGCACGGCGCCCTGCAGTGGCCGCTGCGCCGTTGTGGTGACGACGCGCCGACTCCGCGTGTGCCACCGCTGTCCCGTGCCGTGTGTACCTGACGGCTCACTCCGTGAGCGTCACGTGGTTTGTGGCATGTGTGCGCGTGCACGTGTGCGCGTGCACGTGCACGCGCCCCCGTGCGGTGTGCCGTGACAACAGTTGTGGATGTGTTTAAGCCGCTCTTGGGGCCGCCTCGATACAGGTCAACTCGGGCCTCTGGTGAGTATCCTTGTGCGGTGGTGTGTGTGTGTAGACATCGCCACTCGGGAGACGAGGGGGGGGGGGGGGGTCGGGCGTGGTGCTGGCCCCCTCGTGTGCGCTCTGTAGGCCTTCATCGGTGCTGCTCGCTAGCAGCACTTTCCACAAACGTCTGTCAAGGCTATACGGGGGATCTTTGTCTTTGTGTGTCTCGGTGGAGAGATTACGGGGAGGGGGCTATTCTCGCGGGTGTGGCGCCGCCTCGCGGACGAAGTCGGCATCGCCCCCGCCCGACCCCCCGTGAGGTTTCTGGATGAAAATCAGCGGCTGGGTCCCCTGGCGAGAGAGAGGGGGGGCGCGTGGGTATCTACGCACGCCCCCCCCCCCCCGTGTGAGAGGTCGTGTGAGCCGACACGCCGAGGGGACACGCACGCACGTGATTAAACTGGGAGGGTTAGGGGTGGGGGGCAATTTGCGAAGACAATCATCACAGGAAATGGTCACCAGACAGTGTGCCCGCACCGCTCTCCATTGTGTTTCCAGACAGAAGTTGCCATAGTTTCTATTGGCTAAAAAAACCCTGCTAACAAAAAAACACCACCGCCTTTTCCGGTGAATATTGCCACCACCGACTTGCACTAAAATAGCCGTAGTGCCCCCACGTCTCCTTTGTGAATCCTTCAGCACGGTCAACATTCTCTCTCTCTCTCCCTCCCTCCGAGCTTACGCAGCGGACGAAGCTGCGGTGGTGACAGGTTGCCGGGGGGGGGGGGGGGGGGGTCAAGCTACGGTGACATCATCTCGGCGACTATCGAGAACGTCACTTAGTCCGCATTGCGTTTCGCGGTGCCGTGACATCCTCTGCCCTTGCTGCGTCGAGTCAGTCGCTGCGATGCGTGCACGAGATGGTCGTGGTTGGGTGGGGTGGGTGGTGGTGGTGTTGTCCATCCCAGACACCCATGCGTGCTGTTCCGGCCTTCAAATGTGCTCACTTTACAGCACTTGCCCTCGGCAGTCTGTTAGGGCTATTGTTGTTGTTGTTGTCGTCGTTGTTGTTGTCGTTGTTGTTGTGGTGCGTGCTGGGCGAGACTCGACCGGTCCGTTCGGGTATCATCTCTGAGTACCGGGGACCACGCCGAGTGTCCACCGCTCGGATCACATCCTCACCCCCCTCACTCCTCATCACCCCCCTCCTCCCCCTCACTCCTCACTCCTCACGCCCCCCCCCCCCGTCAGGTTTTTCAGTGTGGCACGCACATCGTCGCAAGATACCGTCACGCACAAAGACAAAGATCCCCCTATAGCCTTAACAGACTGTTGGGGCAAGTGCTGTTAGCGAGGAGCACACGAGGGGGGTGGGTGGCCGGCAACCACGTCCGGCCGCCTTTGTCTCCCTATTGGCGACGTTGATACACCGCAGCAGCCGCTCATTTGAGCCCAAGTCGACCTACGGTACGCCCACGACTGTGAATTGAACTCGGGCGTTCGGGTTCAGTGCGCAGTGCGCTAACCACTGCGCCACCACTCCCCACACACACAGATACACGCTCGTATAGACGACACGTGAACGTAGGAGCAGATGTAGACTCAAGCACACAAATGCATTGCTTGCTTATAAACGCGCAAAAGTGCATCCAACCTTGAGTTGGCACAATGACTAATGTCAAGGTACACACAGCCTTGCCTTGAGGGATGCAAGCAAGTATATACGGTACTGTACATGTGCGCTGTGTACGCAATGAGTGCGTTGGTCTGCACTTTTTCTGTATTTGTAACTTGATGATTTGCTTTGACTGGACATCCGTGCGGGGGGGGGGGGGGGTAGAGATTGATAAGCTCATCGGCATCTTCCTGCAGTCTAAATAAAGAATGCGAATCTAATACTTGCATTGCGTCATGTACGAGAACCGAGTGGGCGGGTCGTCGAGGTAACGTCGAACGATCGTTTCTGTCGGCCTCCGTAACAGGGCGAGAGCAAAACCGTCGGACTCGACACAACTCGTGACGGCTTCTCATTGACCGCTTGATTGTGAACTTGTAGTCGTGGCTCTGCATCTGTATCGGCCATACGGCAAGAAGATCGGCCGAGTTAAACGACGTTTTTGTGGTCGCTAGTTTCTCTGTAGCAAAAAATAAATGTGCGCCAATTGGCGAAGCCGCGAGCCTATTGTACATTCACAAGTGTATACAGGTAGTCCCCGAGATACGATATTTCGATCTTAAGATGGCGATAGCGATACGACAAAATTGTTAAATATTTCAAAATTTCGCGCGGCAGGCAGACGCAGCAGCATACGAGGTACGATAAATGCATACATAAATACATACCGTATATAGTTTATACAGTACGGTATTGTAAATTGCTCCTGTTTTGCTAAATTATCACCATCCTTTAAGACTCCTGGGTAGGCTAGGCCATCTTCGACTTACGATATTTTTGACCTTACGATGGGGTCGTCGTAACGCATCTCCATCGTAAGTCGAGGACTACCTGTATTTTATAATGTGATCTGTTGGTTTTCGATTTAAAGCTTTCGTGACTGCAGGGATTCATTTTCTTGGTTCTTTCGGTAAAGTCACGTAGAAGGGAAGTAATAAAATAATAAAAATAAAACATAATAAAATAAATTTTATGTCAAATGTTTTATTTTTATTATTGTATTACTTCCATCCTACGTGACTTTACCGAAAGAACCA